GTAGTAGTAGTAGTAGTAGTAGTAGTAGTAGTAGTGGTAGTAGTAGTAGTAGTAGTAGTAGTAGTAGTGGTAGTAGTAGTAACATTTTATTAATGTTGATGATGTTGATGCTTCTGTCATTGTGGTCTGAATAATAATAATAATAATAACGATTAATGTAATGTTTATATTAATGTAAACATTCTTTTATTTACCGAAATAATAATAAGAATAATAATAATATTGATAATAATAATTATTATTATTGTTCATAATATTAATGTTATCATTTAAGTTTGTAATCATCTTCAAAGTATAAACATCTATGTTAAAACTGGCATCTGACATCTGACATTATCTTGTGAAAATGTTTTTCAAGATGAAAAAAGATTTTTGGAAAATATTATTATTTTAGTTGGGGATTAAGCTAGTCATTTTTGCCTGTTGGCTGGTTAAGTATCATCATCATCATCATCATCATCATCATCGTCGTTATCATCATCACCATCATCAATATCATTATCGAGAGGGATTGGTTTAAAAAGCTCAAACAAATACTTATATAATTAATCACACACACACACACACACATACACACACACACAAATTAATTTCAAATTTGCTTAAGCCGTATGCAACATTATTCATTTCATTCATCCAATTTCCATTCTTTCTACCATTCCATCATTCGTTCATTTGCCCATTCGTTCCTCTAATTCCTTTATTTTCTCATTCATCCATTTATCTACTCGTCCATCCATCAATCTATTTTTCCATTAATGCATCTCTTTCTAGATAATTAATTGTCCGGAATCTTGAACATTCCTTAAAATTACGACCACAACAACATCCTCGCTACTATTACCACCACAACCACCATAACAGCTACTACTACCACAACTACGCTACTACTACTACAACTACACTACACTACTACTACTGCTGCTGCTAATGCTACTACCATTACTACCATTACAAAATCGTTAAAGCGACAGTATCGTTTCGAAACTGTCAACAGACGTTTCGTTACATCAAAAAAAACGTACCCTGATACCGAGTTAAGCTTGAAAATATCGAATAATATTTCGCTACGTACCGATTAGAGTTTCGTTTTATCGGGTAATTATTTCGTTATAACCAGTAAAGTTTCGTTATAACGAGTGAAGTTATAAGGAGGAGGCCGGGGTAACAGAGATTAAGGAGAATTAAAATGAGATTTATCGCATCTGCAAGGTTGTTGTAATCTATCTTCTATAACGAGTGTTTTGTTTGCGTACGCGCATACATAGGCCTATACGTACGTACATATACGTACATATACGTACGTATGTACATACTTATAACGTACATACGTTCATGATCAAAGCTTCCGTACACACACGCAAACAGACCAGCCATCATTCGCGTTCACTTCATCATGACCTTACATATTCTTTTGGTTTGTATGTGTGTGTGTATGTTTGTATGTATGTTTGAGTGAATGTTTGTATGTATGTATGTTTGTATGTTGTATGTTTGCTTGTACGTTTATTTGTATGTTTGTTTGTTTGTTTGTTTGTTTGTTTGTTTGTTTGTTTGTTTGTTTGTTTGTTTGTATGTTTGTTTGTTTGTTTGTATGTTTGTTTGTATGTTTGTTTGTATGTTTGTTTGTATGTTTGTTTGTATGTTTGATGACGTCAGCCATCAGCCTCTGTTCAAATTCTCAGAAAGCATAATTATACTTTCAACAATCTTCCTTTAGAAGGCTCTCCCGAAGGAAATATAATAATATTATTAATAATAATAATAATAATAATAATAATAATAATAATAATAATAAAGAGTAACAACAACGGTCAGATAATTGAAAATTTAATTTGCAACCGGAATGCAAGCAGTGTCAATGAGAAGCATTTCATTCTATTTTCTCTCATTTTCTCCATCTTTCTCTCTCTCCCTTTCTCTCTCTTTTTTTCTTTCTTTTTCACTCTCTTTTTCTACCTTCTACTTTGAATTTTTCTTTCTTTCCCTTATCTCTCCTTCGTTCTTCTCTCTTTCCGTTTCTCTTTTTGTCTCTTCTGTTACTCTTCTTATCAATTATTTCTCAATTATTTTTCTCTCTCTCATTCCCTCTCTCTCTCTTCTTTTACTTTCTTTTTATACCTTTTTTCTCTTTCTTTCTCTCTCTCTCTCTCTCTCTTCCACCCTCCCTCTCTCTCTCTCTCTCTCTCTTCCCAGTTTTGGCCGCACAAACGTGTAAGAAAGATTTAGTTGTCCAGTGAATTTAGGCGCTGCATTATACAAATGCTGCCTCGTTTTGTTTTTACGCTAAATAATTTAATTCTTCTTCTTTGGTAAGTAACAAATTTATTTGTCAATTAAGTGATCATTCATTCATTCATTCATTCATTCATTCATTCATTCATTCATTCATTCATTCATTATTGCAAGCGTTTTTACCGATAAACAAATAAAAATAATTGCACAGTGACTTCGTTATTATCTTGTTTTATTTATTATCTTTTTCGATTTTTTATCTTTGTTAACGTCATTGTATCGCATTCACGGTTCATTTTCCTCCCAGAGCGATATTAAGAGTTAATGCGGATATAATCAATAGAATTAAGATTCTATGTAAATAAATTTATTATTCATGTAGTTTTATGACTTATTATATAGCCAATTTTTTCCTTCTCATTCTCTCTCTCTCTCTCTCTCTCTCTCTCTCTCTCCCTTTCTCTCTTTTCCTAACAGAAACGCCGTTTTGATCACGCACTTCTAAGAGCATCCCCACAATTAATTCAACGATAGTATCGCCCACGTGCTCGTACCATAGATAAAATAACGAAAAACCCCATCATAGACAGCGTAATGAGAAATATAGAAAAAAGCTGTACCAAAAACCATAGATACTGTAACGAGAAGCATAGATAAGGTGGAAAAGTTAATGAAAAAACGTTGAAAATTATGGCTCTTACGTGGACATGATATCAAAACATAGAAAATAAAAAAGATCCTAAATATATTCTACAACAATCACAAGCGTAATGTGAAAAAAAAACAGAAAAAATATAGTAAAAAATTAAAATAATTGTCGGAATTAAAGATTTTTTGCCGAAAATAGAGATAATGTAGAGGGAATTACGCATAAATCACCTGGAAAAAACGTAATGTGAAAAAGCCATAGATATAGTAGCGGAAAAACAAAGACAATTTATTGAATTTCGCCATGCATAGATATTAAAATATGCATTTGTGGTCAAAAGTGTATGTGCAGGTTGGTTATCCATAAATCAATTCGGTTGTTGTTATTATTAATATTATTCTTGCTGCTAGATGATGTCGATGTTGTTGTTGATGTTGTTGATGTTAAAATATAACACGCATAAAAAATCTTGAAAAGAGCCAAATGGAACCTTTAATAATAACCTAAGAAACCCGCGCAAAAAAATACAAAAAGGACCTTCTTGGAACCTTTTTGAGAACCTTTTACTGTCAAGAAACAAATGCTCTACATCTGATGAAACTCAAATGTGCATGTCGACATAAATAAATAAATAAATAATAAATAAACACATACACGCACATACACACACACACACACACGCACACACAAGCACACACACACATATATAAATTTGTTGGCGCTTTATTTATTTATTCATTCGTTTATATTTGAAGGGACATTATTATGGTCAAGTAGGAACTGGATTGGATGGATGTGGGAAAAACTCTTCTTTTGACACGTTCTACTCTCTCTCTCTCTCTCTCTCTCTCTCTCTCTCTCTCTAACTTAAGTATTTTTCCTAACGGTTGTTTTTTCTCTTTTTCTCCGATCTCTCTCTCTCCCCTTTTTTTGGTGGGAAATTCTTTTTCATATTTTTTGGTTTATCTTCTTAATTTTTTTTATAATATATTTTGATAGATAAAAAAAAGTTAGCTACGTAGATGTGCTTGTAGATATGAACGTGGTTTGGCATTTATTTATGCGTTCATTCATTCATTCATTCATTCATTCATTCATTCATTCATTCATTCGTTCGTTCGTTCGTTCGTTTTTTCATTCATTCATTCATTCGTTCATTCATTCGTTCGTTCGTTCATTCATTCATTCTTAAATAAACATAGACAGATAAATGAACGCTGGGAAGAATCATTAATTATAGAAAAATAAATTTTTTCTATAAATTCTTTTGAATTTTTAGGGAGAAATTTTTAGTTGTTTTTGAATTTGTGTCCGTAGAAATATTTTTTCTTTGGTAGGCACCTGATAAATAATTTGGATGCAGCTGTCGTTGCTGCTGCTACAACAAAAACAGCAGCTGCAGCAGTAGCAGCAGCTGCTGTTTTTGTTGATGACGTTGGTGTAATTTGATTTGTTGTTGTCTGGTTAATCTTATTATCGACAAGTTTTTTTTACATAAGATTAGCGAAAAAAAACTTCCCCTGCGTTCGAACACCCACCCAGTCACTTTAACAAGAGACAGACATTTTACCACTAGACTATTCAATCACCCATTTAAACATCCACCCCCAAACTGAGATTATTCAACTTCGCATACAGGCTACCCATACAACAAGCTGATGAGTCGTACGTTGTACATGCAAGTCCTTGACTATGATAGGTTCAGTCGGGACGATCCAATAGGGGAGGTCTGCATGCCTCTCAGTAACCTTGACCTTTCTAAAGAGCAGACCATGTGGATGACCTTACAACCTTGCAAAAGTCACATGGTTTGTTGTTGTTGATGCTGCTGTTGTTGTTGCTGCTGCTGTTGTTGTTGCTGTTGTTGTTTTTTTTCATTTTTACAATCAATCATTCATTCAATTTGCTTATTCGTTCGTTGTTTTTCATACATTTCTTCATTTAATGTTTTACTCGTGCATTCTTTCATTCATTCATTCATTCATTCATTCATTCATTTGCTTACACATTCATTGATTGATGTTAACGCTTTAATTTTTGTTAACATAATTAAATTATCGTCATAATATTTTTCCTCCCCCACGCGATTACATCTAATTATAATTAATAATAATTATGGTTATAATTAATAATAATTACGATTATAATTAATGATTATTATGATTAAAATAAATTTAATTATAGGGTAAACTAGGGGAGTTGTTGGTCACCCTATGTTACCAGCCTACAGCGGAAACTGTGACGGTTGGGATAGTCCAGGCCAGGAACCTCATCGCTAAAGATATTAATGGATTGTCAGGTGTGTTTGTGTGTGTGTATGTGTGTGTGTGTGTGTGTGTGTGTGTACGTATGTGTATGTGTGTGTATGTGTGTGCGTATGTGTACCTAATTTTATAAACAGTATAATAAGCTGTTGTGAGCATTGAAATTATGGGAGATGGGAGCTGACCACGTAAAAATACCGATAAATCAAAATCGAAATACCGACCTACTGTCGTCGGTACTCAGTACCGAATATACGTAGCCACTTCCTATATATGGTCGTTTGTTCTATGACGTCATTAATATTTGCTGACGTCAGAGAGATGGGCGGTTATTTTCAGTTAGGCGGTTATTTTTCGATTTATTGTTGCTATTGTGGTATTGATGTTGATAATATCGGTATTGTTAGCGTGTTTGTGTGTATGTCTAATTGTATATATGTAATGTATGTTTGTTTGTATGTACGTATGTATGTATGTTTGTTTGTATGTGTGTATGTATGTTTGTTTGTGTGTATGTATGTTTGTTTGGTTGTATGTGCTTATGTGTATCAAAGAACCTTTTATCTACCATTATTTGACCGTCAGCAAACACTACACATCAAGCCAATCTGTTTTAATTGAATGCCATATATTCATCGTCGTCATCATCGTCATCATCGTCATCATCGTCATCGTCAACAACATTAAAATGACGTCATCATCATATCTATAATCGTCATCATCATATCTACAATCGTCATCATTTTTATTTTATTGTATTCACTTTTATTACATACATACATTCATACAAACATACATACACACACACACACACACATACAAACATAGATTCACACATACATACATCTAGATATATATTAATAATTCACAGTTTCCATGCCAATATCTCAAATGCATTGTAAACAGCATAGCGTCACTGCTTTGTAGAGCTAAATATTGCATGTTGTTCGTTTGTATGTATGTATGTATGTATGTATGTATTTATGTATGTATGTATGTATGTATGTAGGTATGTATGTATGTATGTATGTATGTATTTATGTATGTATGTATGTATGTATGAATGTATGTATGTATGTATATTTTTATGAATGTATGTTTGTATCTATAAATGTTTTGTATCATAACGAGGCCAATCAGAAATCCATTGTCAATGATTCTTTCTCATAAGTATAAGCCGTCAACTTCGTGTCAACAATTTTGTATAAAATGTATGTACGTTTGTATAAATACTGAGTGTATTTATACGCACAAACACACACACACATACAAACACACACACATACAAACACATACAAACACGTGAACGTATCGACAGAAAGAGCATTTTTGCATCATTACGTTGGCATTAAATCTTCGATAGCTATACGCACGCATTTTGTATTCTAGTGTCCGTCTGTCTGCGTGTATGTATGTGTGTATGTGTGTATGTACGTCTGCATGTTTGTTTGTATGTATGTTTGTGTTTACTGTTTGTTTGAAATTTATTTCAGTTTCAGTCATTTTTTGTACCCGCTCATTCATTATTTGTCCATTAATTTATTCACTCCTTCATTCAGACATACAAATACAAGGCAAACATACACACACACACATCCACACACACGCACATGCATACAAACATAGATACATACAAAAGTACATACATACGTACATGAAATTTGAATCGATGAAATATGTATGAAGATGAAGATGTTTTTCAATGTTTTTTGATGCATTAAGTTTATTATTTTAGTAAGAAAGAACAATTTTTTGAATATGATACTGCTGTTTTTGTTGTTGTAGTTGCTGTAGTCGTTCTTGCTGTAGTTGCTGTAGTCGTTCTTGCTGTAGTTGCTGTAGTTGTTGTTGTAGTTGTTGTTGTAGTTGTTGTTGTCGTAGTTGCTGTTGTTGATGGTGATGATGATGTTTTGATACATGATGACGTCATGTTCTTTTAAAAAATGTTTTTTCTTGATAATGTGAAATAAATTGATTCTTTCAGATTTGAAGAATTTTAAAATTATCCACATCCTGCTTTTTTTATTCCGTTTTCCATTATTTTCTATTATTTTTAATCTCTTTCTCTCTCTCTTTCTCTCTCTCTTTCTCTCTATACTTTTGCTATCTCTCTGTCTCTCTCTTTCATTCTCCCTCTTTAATTTTTAAAAAATTCTTCCTTTCTCTCTTTTTCCACATGCATACACAAACACTCACACACACGCACATATACATACACACATACAAACACACACACACACACACAGATATATATATATATATATATATCCAAACATACGCGCGGAAAAAAATTATAAATCAAATGCTGTTCTCGTCAAATTTTCTCATCAAAAATATTTATGGCCGATGAAAATAATAATAATAACAATAATAATAATAATTGTTATTATTATTATAAATAAACGTGAATAATAAAAATTTTTTTAAGAAGTATTTAAAAATTCTTTTCTGAGAGTTTATTGGCTGCAAACAAATAAGCAATATAACGATTGTATCGGTATTTTAAAGAAGATTCGCGTGCTAAGCATCTATAAGTTGTTGTTGTTGTTGATGTTGTTGTTGATGTTGTGGGTGCTGCATTGGCTAGCGATTGAAAATGACAGCAACCAAACAACAATATGAACTAAAACAACTAAAACATTAACAACAACAACAACATCAACTACATCCGCAACATCAACAGCAACATCAACAGCAACATCAACAGCAACATCACCAACAACATCAACAAAAAAATCAACCGCAACATCATCAACAACAACATCAACAACAACATCAACAACAACATCATTAAGGCATCTACGCATACGAGTCACACAGAACTACGCGCTAACTTCAATCAAGATACATCCCTTGTGATTTTTTTTCTCGCTGCTGCTGCTACTACTATTACTACTTCTACTACTACTACCACCACTACTACTACTACTATTACCATTACTACTACTATTACAACAGCTACTGCTACTACTACTATTACCATTACTACTACTACTACTACTACTACTACTACTACTACTACTACTATTGCAACAACTATTACTACTACTACTACTACCAATAGTATTACTTCTGCTGCCATTGTCGCTACTACTACAACTACTAATCTACTGCTTTTTCTACTACTGCGACTGAATCGGCCACTAATATTTGATCTACTGCTACAACTAGTATTTAATACCGCTAATATATGGAGAAATAAAAGTATTTGTTTATGTAAAATAATGAGTTAACCAAGGGCTTTTTTGGAAAATTTTCTAAGAGGTGAAATACAAACAAACATACAAACAGATACAAACAAACATATTAACAAACATATAAACATACAATCAAACAAACGTATAAACAAACATACAAACAAACATATGAACAAACACACCAAAACGCTTTTAAACAAATGAAAAACAAACAAAATTCCTCTTCATTTTTCTTCTTCTTTTCATAAAGATTAAAAACATATAAAAACCAATCTAATCCCATCTTTAAACAAGCCTCATGGTGTGTCATCAATTCATTCTGAAAGAGAGAGAATGAGAGAGAGAAAGAGTGAGAGAAAGAGGAACTTGGAGAGTTTAATGCCTTGATACATTTTAATCGTCAGGTCCTGCTTCCCTGGTGTAGGTTGAAAATTTATATCAATTTCATGACCGCACTCGACAACAACAACAACAACAACAAAAACAACAACACCAACATCAACAATATCAACAACAACAATAGCACCAACATCAACAACAACATGAAACACCAGCTACCTACTACATACATCCATTAAGAAACGAAACCTTAGACGAACGTATTCAAATTGAGAAAAAAAAAATTTTAATTGACACATAAATTAAGTTAAACAAACAGACACCAATGACGTCAACAAAACAGATACCAATGACGTCATCAAACAACGCCTGTACACACACATACACACGCACACACGTACATACACATGCACACACAAACACACGCACATACATAAAGACAAACGCGAATTTTTTTAGGTTTCTTTAATCAGAATCCGACATAGCAAAGCGTCATATTGATCTACTAAGACCCTATCAAGCCAAATCTAAATTATCTACCTACACACACATACTCACACACACACACACATACTCACACCCACACATACACACACACACACACACACACACATACATACATACAGACGATATAGCACATTTCTTTAAAATTGTAAATGTCACCAGATGTTTATGTTTTTGTTGCTTATACCACGTGACATTCATGTTACGTCCTACGATGTTTATACCACGTGATGTTTATATCACGTGTTGTTTACGTTACACGCGATGTTTATGTCACGTGTTTAATATTATTTATGTCACGTGCTTTGACTGGTTGCCGCCAAACGAGGAAAAAAATAATTAAGGATTTACCACCGTCATGTTGTTAAGTTAATTTACTAGGCGTGTGTTAATGACGATAATAAATTTATTGACTGACTCTACGTCGCACACACACGCACACACACACGCACGCACGCACACATATACACGCACACATAGATTAAATGATCGACTGTTCTTGTGTATATTTACATTACCTTTAATTTGATTGATGATAATAATACATTGATGTAATGGTTTGTGTGTACGCGCGCGTGTGTGTGTACATATGCGTATTTCAACGTGGTGTTTTAAGATATATCTTGCGTACAGTTACTATTACTAATGTATCATTTTAAAATGTTGTACAATTCGGTATATCTACTGTCTCTATCTTAATTTTGAACACTGGTAATGCTAATAATAATAATAAGAAATAATAAATAATAATAAATAATAATTTCAACGCCATTTTTACAGATCCGTACGTGAAGATCTGGCTGATGAGAGATGGCAAAAAAATTGAAAAACGAAAAACCGTAATTCAAGAGAAATGTCTCAACCCGGTTTACAACGAGACCTTCATGTTCTGCATACCGTACGAATATATCCGACAGACGACCCTGGCGATATCGGTAGTCGATTACGATCGAATGGGCCGAAACGAACCAATCGGTCAAGTAATTTTAGGTAGTAAGAGTGGTCCAGTCGAGGTCAAACATTGGAATGAAATGTTCCAAAAAAGCCGACAGCAGGTTTCGCAATGGCATATTTTGAAAGATTTTGGATAGTAGTATGGTGGGAATTTAGTTCAATAGGGATTTTGTTATTGTTGTTGTAGTAATGTATGTGTGTATCTTTGTATGCATTTATGTATGAATATGTATGTATGTATAAATGTATGTATGTATGAATGAATGTATGTATGTATGTATGTATAAATGTATGTATGTATGAATGAATGTATGTATGTATGTATGTATAAATGTATGTATGTATGAATGAATGTATGTATGTATGTATGTATGTATGTATGTATGTATGTATGTATGTATGTATGTATGTATGTATGTATGTATTTAGGCATGCATACATGTGTTTATGTATGCATGTATATTTGTTTGCATAAATATAAAGCAGACCACATATATGTGATATAAGTATGTGTGTGTGTGTGTGTGTGTGTGGACGTATGTATGTGTGCGTGCATGTATGTGTGCGTGTGTATGTGCGCACGTCACAGTCTTGCAACAGCATTATGTTTATACCTGATAATTTCAGTATTATTACGTTGCTTAATGTCGTTTCGTTTTTAGACCATCATCATCATCATCATCATTATTATTGGAAAGTTTTTTGTGGAATTAGGATATATATATATATATATATATATATATATATATATATATATATATATATATATATATATATATAATATGTTAATGTCGTTTCGTTTTTAGACCATCATCATCATCATCATCATTATTATTGGAAAGTTTTTTGTGGAATTAGGATATATATATATATATATATAATATGTATATAGTCATTTATGTTGTTTAGATTAAAATTAATATAGCTTTTTGTGTTCAGAAACTGCAAATTATATATATATATATATTTGTATATACATATATATATATATATATATATTTACACACACACACGTATATATATATATAATATATATATATATATGAAATCAATAAACATCATTAATTACTGGAGCTAATGGTGTATGCGATTTTCAATCTTAAATAATGAATAGCACTAGATGAATAGTTTAAAAATTGTAAAAAAAATGTATAATTACCCTAAACTCGTCAGCTTCGCTTCTGTTCGACAACATGTAGTCACCAAAGACACTGTATAACATGGCCGCTTATTAATTTCATATGCTAGGAAGACAAAAATAACCACACATCTGTGTAAATTAAAAAAAATCGTCTTGTACCGTCTGGCCCCACCTTCCCCTATGGGATTGATGCGTGTTTGTTTGGATGATGACACTGATGAAGTAACTGAACGCTTGTGCATAATTTTCTCTAGAATTAAATAATGGATTGGATGTGTGTGTGTGTGTGTGTGTGCGTATGTGTATGTATGTGTGTGTGTGTGTGTCTGTATGTATGTGTGTTTGTGTGTGTGTCTGTATGTATGTGTGTGTCTGTGTGTGTGTCTGTGTGTGTGTGTGTGTGTGTGTGTGTGTGAAAATCCCAGTGCAAAAGTTTAAACCAGGGATCGCAAAATAAAAATAATAATAATAATAACGATAATAATAAAAATCATAATAACAATAAGATCTGCACTTGATATTTTAATTACGTAACCTGAATCCAGATATAAAAAACCTCAACAGCGAAAGATAAAAATTGAATAAATATTATAATAAGGTTCAATAATTGAACGAGTCAGTGGTTTTATAAGGACGAACGTGTATGTGTGCGTGTACGTGCGTGTGTGTGTGTATGTATGTACGTGTATGTGTATGTGTGGAATAAAAATTAATGGTTAAAAGTGGCTTAAAATCTAAGAAATTCTCCCAAAACATCTAAATAAAAACAGACAAACTGGAAAAATTGTAGAAAAAAAAAATATCAAACTGGCTTGATGTATAGAAACTGCATACAAAATCTCACAAGAAAGCCATCCTCTTAGCTACAGCAGTGAAGTAGAAGGAAATGACCAAAATCTTGATGGTCTCGATAACAAGGCCCTGGACAATAATAGCGCACAGTATAGTGTACAGGCAGATCAAAGACGGACCTTCGGGCAGTTGATTGCCCACCGCCAAACTTATTGAGATCATGCCACAGCAAACGCCAAATATAAAGAGTAGGGCCACAAAGGCTGCAGAAGTCGGGCAGACGTTCATTCTTAGGTTACTTAGCGACGTGTCCGAGCCTAGGTGCACTGAGAAGTTGTCAACTGAATCGTAGCACCTGAACGCTTCTCGCTCTCTCAAGTCGTACTTCTCAAATACGTTCGATTCAGAGGCCGTCGGCATGTTTCTTTCGTTAGCGACAGCCGCTTCACTGGCGTCCTCATTGTCGTCATCATACTGGTTGAAGTTCTTCATCTGGGAGTCGATATTTTTTACCAAAGTCTTAATTTTTTCGTCCGAGAATTGTTCATTAGAGGCGTGTTTGGATTCATTTTCATCTCCATCCTCATCATCTTCATCCTCATCAGCAGCAGCAGCAACATCGACAAAATGACGGTGGCGGCCATCTTGATTTTTATCAGTAGTAGCTTCAGTAGTAGTGGCAACAGTTGGTACTATTTCACTTGGGACTTCAGACGCATCAGACGTTTCGTCTGCTGATGTTGTTGTCGTCCTGTCGCTACGTGCCTCGTAATCAGAGGCGGGGTGGTCGGTGGGGTTCGATGCTGATGGCGTAGATCTATTTGCAAGATTAATAATTAAATATTTAATCTTCACCTAATTATAACCGATAAATTGTGTAATTAATTAATCAATAAATTAATTAATAATTATGGTGATCACTTAATTAATGATCACTTAACCCCAGCCCTAACCTTCCACTCCCATCGAGTTTCTCCCGGGGCATGAGGGTGTCAACGTGAACTTTGACAGGTTGAACGGGGTCAAACAAGCCCTCTTCCGCCATCTTGTTAAAATCGACGCGTCGCTTCTCATTGGCTAGAATGATTCTGACATTTTCTAGCGTGTCCTTCTTATCTTGAAGGTATTTCGAAGATTTGGTTGTTCTTAGGTTGGGTTTGACTTGCTTGAAGTTTTGCGTTGGGTGCTCAAAGGCCCACAAATTGCACACTTTTTTGTCGCTCTCTGAATTATCGCCCAAAGTTTTCAAAATGTTTGTTTTATTATTCTTTGGCGTGTTTGCGTCACCGCCGAGCATGTTGTTAGTTATTTGTTTAACGTGACATTCGTTGATGTTAGCGTCATTTCGTCGTTGTTGAACTTGTGCTGATTTATGATCTTTGATAGCTACGTGTGACGTCATATCACACTCAAAATGGCGGCGATATTCTTCATCGTTACCGTCAGAGGCGAGAGTATGCTCATGAGTTGTTGCTGATGACGTCACCGAGTTAATTTTGGTGCAATTTTTATATCCGGCATTGGACATAGATAACATTTCTGAGGCTGAAGGCGTGTTAATACAGAACTGCTTGTCGTCGTTCAATTGAATCGTCCTATCTTTATTGCCATCCCCGTCGTCGTCACCATCATTACTTGCAACGACATCTCGTGCAATGGTTTGTGATTCTACATTATGATGCCTACCGCTTCTGTGAACCTTTCTGACTTTAGAAACGTTCTTGGAGTTGGCCAATCTGGAATTGGACATTTTTAAAGCACCGATTTTGATGTCTGGATCGGATCTTTCGCTACTGCGTGCCTGCTGTGGTTTTGTTTTTATTAATTCTCTCTTGAAATCTTCTTTGCCAACGTCCCTAACACGCCATTGTTCATCTCCAATGCGTTCCCTACTCTCATCATCATCTTTATAATTATCATCTTTTTCATCTTCTTCTTCTTCATCATCATCATCTTCTTCTTCCTCATTTTTCTTAGATCCGCATTCGGTTGCGTCATCACCAGCAACTTCTTCTTCTTCATCATCATCATCATTACCCCCATAACCACCATCATTACCCCCATAGCCACCGTCATTACCACCATAATCACCATCCTCATCATCACAACCACCACCACCACCATCCTCATCATCACAACCACCACCACCACCATCCTCATCATCACAACCACCACCACCACCATCCTCATCATCATAACCACCCCCGCCACCACCATCGTCATCATCATCACAACCACCATCATCGTCGTCGTCTTCGTCGTCACCAATTACATTTTCATCCGTACGTTCGTTTAAATTTCGCGCGCATTTCATCTTTTCCGCGCCATTTGTTTTTGAATTAATATTCGAGATAGATGGCACTGGCGTCAATCCCATTAGGTTGTTATTATTGTTCGGAACATCCTCATCGTCATCATCATCATCGTCATCATCATCATCGTTATCATCATGATTATTACAGTCGTTAGTATCGTCACTTATGGAAGGAATAATTTTATTATTATTATTGTTGTTATTATTTTTGTTGATGTTGTTATTATTTTTGTTGTTGTTGTTAGCGGTGGAGAAGTTCATCATGACCGAACCGATGTGATGGTGTATTTCGGATTTTAATTTCATAAAATCTGCCGAAATTGAATAAGCAGGGTTATCATTCATTATTTTCATTCGTTATTATTATTATTTATAATTATTATTTATAATTATTATTTGAAATTATTATTTATAGTTTTATTTATAATTATTATTTATAATTATTTTTTATAATTATTATTTTATAATTATTTGTCATGTACACCCATTGAGAACTAAGGCGATTTAATTCACATGCAGCTGAAAAAAGTTGCTGAAAGAAACCGTTTACGGGGTAATAACAACAACAACAACAACAATAATAATAATAATAAACAACAATAATAATAATAATAATATTCCCGCCAACCTCTTAGGACGTTTTTGTTAAACTTTTTCACTCGCACTTTCAAGCTCCAATTACCACCACCAGCATACGCTTTAGTCTGAGATTACAATAATAATAATAATTAATAATAATAAATATGCTATTATTAATTTATTATTATTATATATATTGGTTTGGTAATAATAGTGACGAGGCAAATGGTCGATTGGTCTAGGTCCAAGTTTTCAATGAAATTCTATAACGCCATAGTTGAATGGTTAAGATATTGGCTAAACTTTTCAGTATTACAAAACCACGTAAGTAATCATAATATTAATATAGCTATTCTTACATTTTTAGAATCATCCTCAAAGGAATTATTATTATTATTATTATTCACCCTATTATTATTATTGCTATTATTATTATTCCTGTTATTATTTTCATCTTTCCCTTTCACCAACTCAACCAGTGGGGATGGCTGAGAGGACAACTCGCAAAGGTCCGCCACCTCCAGTGCCGAACTTTCGACTGCGAACTTCACGGCAGTATGTTCAATTTCACCAGTCAGGAAATTTAACTTGTGGATGTGGACTCTGTTATTATCAATAATTGTGGCGTTGGCAGTAATAGAAGTAGCAGCAGTAGTAGTGGTAGCAGCAGCAGTAGTAGTAGCAGCAGCAGCAGCAGCAGTAGTGGTAGCAGCAGTAGTGGTAGCAGCAGTAGTAGTAAAGTTGTAAAAGTTTGATTTCAAAATACTAGCACTATCACCGCTTCCATCATCGACGTGTAATCCTCTTCCAACCATCGTCTTCGTCATCTTCGGATATGTCTTATTTCGTTTTTCAAGAGTGTTAATAATATTGAGATTTATATTTCTATCATGATAACTATCTGGAAAGTTTGTTTTGCTGAATTTTTTGTTAGGTGATGGTACATATCCGGCCGATATCCTATTGCCAGCAACAGATCGGCATTTTGATTCTACATGGAAACGAACGTTGTTCGAATTTTTTCGCGAAACTTTGTGACGATTTAGACATCTAGAACACACATTTTCATCAATTTTGCAATTTTTATTCGTACATTGGTCAGAAAAAACGTCATTTTTCATGTTTGATCTTAACTCCTTGCTTATCTTGTGAAGTTGTTTCGTGCCCATCTCTGCCACATTCCGCTGGATAACTTCCACAAAAAGCTTCACGTATCTTTGGAAGAATAATTTTTTACCAATTTATTTGTTATTCTTTAAAAATTCAGATTCTGTCAGACGCAGAACCCGCTGAAACACGCAAAAAATGACAAATAAATCCATGAAAAAATACTTAATACCTACATAAATACTTGGTGCTTCTGAAAAAAACACATTAGAGAATTATAAAAAAGAAATAAAATGGCCGCCCTACCTTTTAACTTTTTTGATGAATAAATCCCAAATAACTTCGGACATCGATGAAACATCGATCACTTTCGATATCTTATAAATGAAATTATCCAGCTCGACATTATATTTATCATTTTTTGAAGGCATTTTGTTATCAAAATTTACTTTTCCCCGAGAATTTTGGAAGAACATTTGATTTTGGTGTGTTTGGTGATGTTGCAGTTTACGCCCCTGCCTAGTACTACTGACAGTTACGCCGTTCTTTAGTAAATTTACTATTAAAACATTATGAAAAACTCGTTTCAGTAGATCGAGTTTGGTTAATTTTCCTAGGTGGCTACTCAAAATCGGCTTTTTGCTGAACATTCCCAGTGAATCTGAAAAAAATAAATCACATTTTAATAAGTTACTGACAATCAAACAAACATCAAACCAACCCACCAACTAACCTTCTTTTATTTATAAAGCGAAATTTTCAAAAAAAAAAACATCTGAAGCGGATAAAAAATGATTAAAAATAATTAAATGTACAACCTTTGTAAAACAAATAATCAATGCCAAGACACCTCAACCTAACGAGGAATTGAGGATCGATGATTGAAAAGTCATCCACTTTGAACAACTTCTTCATGAAATTTGTAAATTTCAAATTTCTCACGTCAACTTCGTCACTTTTGTCAGATTCATGTGCCCTCAAAACGCAAAAATTCGTTTTCTCGATGGTTACGTGAAGCCTTAGCACCGCCAGGTTCAGTAACAGGTTCGTGTAATAGATACCATAGATAGAACTTTCTAGTAAAAATTTATTTTTATCTATATCTTTAAAACATTTTGAAAGAATAGCGAGACAGGATTCCATTAGCGAAGGAAAAAATTCTGTAGCGAAATTGTCGTGAATTTTTTGGTAATTCAGCTCTTTGTTCTCGCTCAATAACCTAAAATGAAAAAATGGAATACTATTTTATGATTAGACTTAATTTATAACTTATAAGTAAAATTTTGCAATCTGTGTTAGCTTGCAAATGTGTTTGATTCAGGCGTGGATTCAATCAATCAATTAATTAATCAATCAATTTATTAATAATTATTCATTATATCGCTATTAATATGACATAGTTAAACTAAAATAGAAAAGGTTTAATCATAAAATTATAATTTAAAAAATAGCACAAACGAAATGATGTTACATGACCTTTCGCTTTCATCCAACACGCTTCTAATACATGTACTAACATACCACACTAGGACAGATGATAATTTTTCTAAAGATAACTTGTAAAAATCATCTACTATCAAGCTTTTTGGTGTATTTGACGTTATATTTTTAAGATTTTTTAATGAAAACTTTGTAAAGTGTTCTCTGAAACACACATCTGCAACCGAATCCAAAAATGTTTGATTCAAAGTTAGACATCTTTCTTTGTACAAAATCTTACTCGGGTCGAATGTTTCAGGTTTGGTGAATTTTTCTTTGAAAATTTTCATCTCATTTTCTGAGAAATTTAAACTGTTAAGATTTAAAAACTCCGGGCAAATTGATTTCAATTTCTCTTCATTAACTTTTAGAAGTTTATCAAAGTTTAATTTTTTGTTTAAAAACTTGAAGCATTTCAATCTCAAACAGTATTCCGAATTCTCTTCGGTTTTTTCCAGAATATACTGAGCTAGAACTTTCTGGGATTGCGATAAGTTCTGATAAGAATTTTCGTAGCAATATGTGAAATTTTTAAGCATTTCATGAACATTTACTTCCTGAGAAACACAAATTCCGGTTATTTCTGCTTTAGAATCACCAACATTTTCACAAATCTTACCATCCTTTTTATTGTTTAGTCTATTACATAAATTATAAAGCCTTTCTTTGAACAAATTTCTCAATTCTAAGCTATTATCACCATGTTTATCATTACTTTTACCGTAAATTTCGTTCAAATCAACTAAAATTTGAAGCTTTTTGTCATAATTTGCATTCAAATTTACTAAATTTTTAAGTTTTTCGCCCTGATTTACGTTAAAATTTGCCGAACTTTCAAGCTTTCCACTAAAATAGCCATCCATAACATGCGATACCAGCCATATAACTTCACCTTCTAGCCTATACCGCCTCCTTACACTGACTTTATTCACATTACTTTCTTGATTTTTATGAAGAAACTTCGTATTTTTGGATTTAGCCCGATGACGTAAACTGCTTTTTTGCAGTAAATTCTTATCCCAAATATGTTTCCAATTATTCTGCAACGTTTCAACGACATCATTTTTAGAATTTTCGATATCTATATAGAATTCGCTTCCGCTTATTATGTTGTTGTTATTATTATTATCATCATCATAATCACTGCGTCTATTATTATTGTTGTTGATACGTTTATTATTATTACTATTTTTCTTATTTATTAATGAAATATTATCTCTAAATGAGTCATCAATCAGATTAATATTAGGATTTGGCATCGGTATTAGCAACGTTTTGGCATCTGGCGTACACACATCGTCAATTCTATCTATTATGCTGGTATCGTTATTAGTATCGTTATTATTTTTATCTGTTATATTAGTATCGTTATAAGTATCGTTATGATTTCTACTTTTTCTATAGCTGTCATTATTATTGTTATCGTTTATGTCTAATATACTGGTATCGTTATTATTACCGTTATTACATCTACCTTTCATATCGGTATTATCGATACAGTTATTATTGGTACCGTTATTATTACAATAATCACTATCGCCAGTGTCATTGACATCATCATTTCTACAATTATTCCTCTCATCTCCAGCTCCATCGCCTTGGAGTTGCGAATTGAAATCATTGAAATTAAATAGTAGACTTTTGTAAGGGTTTGAATACTTGGTCGAAGAGTTTATAACGGTATTTCTGGACGTTGTCAGATTGATTTCATCTTCGCTGCATAACGAGACTATCGGTAAAGTATCGGAATCGGAATTAAATTCCGATTTTTTTAGGCAACTTTTAAGTCTTAAGCTGTTATTAACATCGTCAGCGAATGTGGTCGTGTTGTTGGTTATGTTTAACCTGTTTGTCATATTATGGCCGCCATTGTTGTAAAGATGATGACGATTAATGTCTGGTTTGTTGTTGTTGTTGGGCAGTTGTGGACGTGGCGGTTGTAGCAAATGCTGCTGTAGTGTGATGTTGCTTTCGTCTAACCATGGCATAATAGCGCTGATACAAGAAAAACAATTGGCATTTTTAACTTCAGAAAAGTTTCAGATAGATTTTGAATACAACAATATACCAAAACAAGCCAATTAATTAATTAATTGAGTATTCAGTTAGAATACGTAAAATCCATCAAAAATACGCCAAAAAGCACCAGAATCACCTTAAAATACCCACCTATTGAGATGACGTTTCGACAAACGTAATGGATATTTCGTGAGAATACAAATATGAAAATATCGGCAGAGGAAGGCGTTCGTTGACGTTGAAAACCATCTCAGAGTAAGTTGAACCGTAGCAACCCCGAAGGACAGCAACAGCACTATCAGCGTAATTATGGCTGACTGTTTGAAATGAATTTGTGATTTTCTTAAAAATAATAATAATTAAAATAATAATAAATTTTCATTTATTTATTTTATTTATTTATTAAATTTTTATTTTTTTATCATCGTCGTTATCATTAGCATTATCATCCCTCATCACTACGACCCCAAAAAAAGATTATAAATAGCAACGAACGAACGAACGTACCTCGGAAACATCCGGATATTCCCATCTCTCGCTTTCCCCAACTTGCTTCTCACTAGTCGAGGACGATCTATAAATAGAGACGGAAGTCAAGATGGTGACGGACAATAGGACGAGACCCAAAAGTAGGGATGTGCTATTCAGGAAATTTGTGGAGAATAATGATGACGTGAATGGGGCCAACCACATGTGGAATTCCTTCAAACAAATACCCATGTTCTGGTACCAAAAACTATTTTTAGATTTATTTAGTTTGTGAATTTTTTAATTTATACACACACACACACAAACACACATATATAAATATATATATATACATATATATATATATATATATATATATATATATATATATATATATATATATATATATATATATATATATATATACTGCACATGCATATATACACACGCTACATTTTAAAAATACCAACACACACACAAACGCAAATACCTGGCAGAAAATTCACTATTGATCATAAATTTCTTCTGATCGCACCTCCTGCTCATAGCAGTTATCCACTTATCACAGGGTACATACCACCATTTGTGATACATCAAATCGATCACCGTAACATACTTTACATACCTGCGTGTGTTTGGTTCGTGTTTTTAGGTTATTTTTCAGTTTGTATTGCAAGAGAACAAGATATGGATATATATGAGAAAAGAGAGGGGCACGAGCAACTAGACGAGCAGCCGAGTTAAAAGCTTCACTTAAAGGATAGGGTGTAGAATCAGTGAGACCATAGTAGAGCGAGTTACAATAACCAATCCTAGATAAGACTAAAGAAGTAACAAGGAGAAGAATAGGATCGTCAAGAAATAGCAAAAGTTTTTTTATTCTACGTAGATGAAAGTAAAAACTTCTAGGAGAATCTGAGGAGAAAGAGATATGTTAGAATCAAAGATAAAACCTAGACCACGCAATGATAGAATACGAACCATAGTTCATCTTGTTCAAATGACAAGAGCTCGATGTTGACGTGGCTGAGGTCTCCTAGAGGATCTTAAATGTTTTATTTATCTATCTATCTATCTATCTATCTATCTATCTATCTATCTATCTATCTATCTATCTATCTATCTATCTATCTATCTATCTATCTATCTATCTATCTATCTATCTATCTATCTATCTATCTATCTATCTATCTATCTATCTATCTATCTATCTATCTATCTATCTATCTATCTATCTATCTATCTATCTATCTATCTATCTATCTATCTATCTATCTATCTATCAGTCATACATTCATTCATTCATTCTTCAACTTACATTTCTTCAACATTTTATTTTATCATTAATTCATTCTATATTTAGCTGTTCAATCAATCTTTCATTTCTTCAACAAATCAATCAATCACTCGCTCTTACATTCTTTCACTCATTCATTCATTCACTCACTCACTCACTCAACCAACAAACTTTCGCTATTAATCAAAAAGACATCAGGCCGATTTCTATTTAAAATTTCTCGCTGGGTCTGCGATCGAACCGCCCGACTGTCGATCAGGAAGGGGGTAAGAACACCTAGGGTGCCCATCAAAGTCACTTTCACAGTTTTGTTGGATAGGGCCTCTGCGATTGGATGATAGTATTGGAGTGGTTGAGTATAATCATTCATGGATAACAAATTAGTACAGTTAATTCTTAATTTTTAATCAAGCATTATGTATGTATGTATGTATGCGTTTGTGTGTGAGTGTGATTTGTGTGTGTGTGTGTGTGTGTGGTGTGTAATTATAATAAAATCAACTTACTTGAACTACTGCCACTGTATATGATGACGAGGTACTGATAGTTTCTCGGCTCTTTGCAGTAAAAATATAAAGGGGGCTGGAATTTTTGGAAAATTATGTGTGCGTATGTGCGTGCGTGAGTGTATGTATGTATGTGTGTGTGAGTGTGTGTTTATGTGTGTGTAAATTTGCTAACCGGGCCGCTAGATAGCCTGAAAATTAAGGAAGCAATGCAATAGAGTAGGTACAAGAGGCAGACAATGGTAATTGTTAGCACTATAACATAACTCATTTTTTCTTAATTAAAAAAATTAATTTTAAATTAATTCTTGAAAGTAATTTTATTATTAAATTTCAAAAGTATAAATTTTAAAAATATTAATCAGAATTTAATTTGAGACAGAAAATAAAATCTCCGAAATTTAAAATTCATAAAAACCGCCATTATTTTAGATTTAAAACGCGTTTCACTAAAAGCGAACCGAGGATAAAATTAAAATTCATTTTGTAACGCAATATTTGATTACATCTCCACAAACAGACACACACACAGACAAACAGACACAGACAATCAGACAGACACAGACCAACAGGCAGACACAGACAAACATACACATATGAAAAAATAAAACACCACAAATTAATAGAACGAAATTTATTACGTTTTGAACAGATTTTTTGAAATACTCATAAAAAAGGTGTGTGTATATATATATATATATATATATATATATATATAAAATAAATAGCCTATATAGTCAACAGTTATGGCGATATACGTGCTTCATATAAATCTGATGAAAAAATATAAATTAACGAAATATAAAATGAAAGTTTTAAATGAACGTGATTGTTGAATGCATGAATGAACGAACAAATGAATGAATGAATGAATGAATGAATGAATGAATGAATGAATGAATGGATGAATGAAAGAATGAATGGATGAATGGATGAATGAATGAATGAATGAATGAATGAATGAATGAATGAATGAATGAATGAATGAATGAATGAATGAATGAATGAATGAATTGAATGAATGAAAGAATGAATGAACGAACGAACGAACGAATGAATGAACTAATGAACCAAAGGACGAATGAAATGAACAAATAAACAATTGATAAAAATAAAATAAATTAAATCATTACAAAGTTACTAAGTACAAAT